GTGGCTGATTATGGTCCCAACAGCTTGTAAATCCAGTGGACATATGGTTGGGTAGTAGCATGTTAAGCTTTCATGAACTTTACCCTGCCATAGGTGATCCATTAGATGAGCACACCTTTCCTTTTCAGCAAGGCTGCGAGACTACGGCTTCGAGACTTAACTGCATCAAAACTTGTCTCCTGACTCCATGTGATCATGTTTTTATATTCTAATGCCTTAGCATTTGATGGTATTGTACAAAACAACTACCTCAGAAAATTTTAAGAGTGAAAACACATTGAAATCAATACTTGGATATCATACAATGCTATATTGATGATCTAGTTGTACTGTGAGGACTGTTCTTAGGTACTGTGTCCCATTAGTTCAGATTTCTAAATTTGCAGATTAACTCTAGCAGCAGGGCATATCAATAGGTTTCCTTTTGTAAATACCAACTAGGTAATCTCCTTCAGTATGGCTTATACTTTCAGGAAGCCATGCACTTTTTTTTTAGATATTCATATCATTGTAGTGTGTTCATTTATAACTCACTTTTCATTTTTGTTAGCAAATATCCTAGGGAAACATTACACTTCAAGAAATTCCAGCAAAAATATAAATCAGAATTCTTATAAATGTTTAATGCTCCTTGACCTAGTAATATTGCTTTGGAGAATTTATCCAAAGGCATTAAACTGACATGTCAAATATTACAGAAGGATATTATGGTATTATAACAGTGAAAAATTTTGGAAATAACATAAATGTACAACTATAGGGAAAAGGTTAAAATATATACTTATGTTGAAAAAACAACCTTTACAAGTCATATTTTTGAAGAAAACTTAATGACAGAAAAATACACAATATAAAGCTAAGTGAAGAGAACAGATGAAAGAGAATAACTGATCATTTCTGGATGATACAATTATGGATAACTGTATTTTCAAAATTTTCTAAAATGAACAAAAACTGCTATTATAATCAGAGAAGAATAATGAAAATCATATGTACATCAATATATATCTCTAACAAATCCCAGCAAAGCTGGGGCAGTTTTAATACCTAGCTCTGAATAATGAATGTTTGTGGGGTATGTAAACAGATAAATAGACAGATAAATGAATGAATGACAGTTGACACTTGTAGGTACCATAATTGAGTTAATGTGACTGCAGAAATAACAAATAAATATTTTTTAATTAAAATGAGATTTCAGATCAGCCAGCGGTTTGAAGGATGACATCGGGGTTACTGAAGGAGTCACAAAATGAGTGGCTGACAGCAGCCAAGGAGTTGTGGTCAAGTTTTAGGTCCGTTGCTGTTCTTGCTGGCCAGCTATCAACACCATTTTTCCTCTTGTTCTATTTGTGTCTTTGAAATTTCTCTCATGCCTGCTGATTTCACTGGTCTATATTCAGTTTGGCCATTTACTGAGAGAATGAAATCAAAATCATGAGTTCATTTCCCGTTTGAACCATGTACATGTCTTCATATAGAAAAAGATATTCCAAGGCTAACTCCGGCTGGCCAACTCTCAGAGATGGGCTTATTGGTCATGTGGACAAGCAGGTGAGTGTGGGTAGATTAGGGAAACCTGCCTCTAACACTTGTGAGACCACCCAAAATGCCCCTGCACAGGGTGCTTTGTGTTCTTATGTTCTTGAAAGTAGTCCTCTGAAACTGGTAGGCTTTGTATAATGTTAGCTACTTGAGAAGTCAGTATAAAACTTAGTCATGTCACAATTTTTATAACAAATTCACAATAAGCTGTTCATGGAAACTATACATGGGACTGATTGACCTACATTTCATCATATAAGGTCTTAATATCTTTTGGCTATTTTGATCAAATTGCTAAACTGAATCTGGCTTTTTTGCACGCCCATCCAGAGACAACACTGAATGCATGAATGAAATCTAAATGTTTCTTCTCCAGTGCATTCCCTTATCTGTGAAGGGGCCTGCGTCAAAGAAAGCCATTAGACTTTCATATAGCATTCTGTATCTTTGCTCTTGGTGGCTTTTAAAATGCAGTGTTTTTCATTGCAGTTACTCTTAAGCCCAAGTGGATGATTATAGTGCCTTGCTTGTATCTGCTCTGCCTTGATCCTGCTAAGATATTCGATTTACTGTTTGTGTTTTTCAACCTGAGTCACCTCTCATCATTTTTTAAAAAAAAAACCTTATTTAGGGATTGAGGAATTCAGAGCTCTGAACTGTGAATTTACGTATATTCAAAATTGTTCTTGTCCTGGAGGTCATAATATCTACAGATATGATGGGCCCCCTTAAATTGGCCAGCTGGATGTTTTATTCAGGGTTTTTAAGGAAGAGGGAGAGAACATTTTCTAAGCACTAACAGTGTGCTGTAGTTTACTAGGCATTTTTTACATACATTATCAGAGTTAGTTCTCACTATGACCAAATAAGGTAGGCATTATTACCACAGTTTTACAAATGAGGAGACTGCAGCTTTGAGAACTTAAATGGCTGATCATAATTTGAACGCTAGTCTATGGGACTTCAAAGTCTGTGATTTTTTCCACTGCACATACTCCCAGGGATAAAGGGTTTCTTAAACGGAACTTAATAACACCATAAACACCTAGCTTCTCTTCAGCTCCTGCCTTTCTCCTGTAACTAATTTCCATTATACTTTCCTTGTGTTACCTTGATGAGATCAGTCCTTTGCAGCAAGTCCAAGAAATTAAGCTTTGAACCACTAATAAGGAGGGTAGTCATTTGAGCTGGCTTTCAATTTTGTCCAAAAACTCAGTTAGTTTGTGTTTTACCTAGTTCCCAGTAACTCATAATCCAATCCAACGGTGTTCCTTATTGCTGGCATAACTGGTCCTCGCTGGGTGCTCAATACTTCATTGCATGTTGGCTTCCATCATCCCCCTCGAGAGCCAAAAAAGTTCTTCAGTTGTAGGAACATAAAACCTACCATGGTGAAGGCAAGCACAGTCTTCCCCTGGACCAGAGTGGTAAGCAAAGCAACTGAAAAAAGATCTCCCAAAGGAGGGTTTATGTATTAGAATAAATTAGTGAGAAACAGGCCATTTGTGAAGGTAAAGGTTGAAAACAGGGAGAAAGGAATTTTTGAGAGTATAGAAATTGTAAGGGATGATCATTAACCTCTGAACAACTTAAGAAAAGCAAGTTAGGAGTTCATCTAAGACTGAAGGGGAATTAAAAGCCAAGTGCAAAGTATCCAAGTTCTCAGGCCATCATTTTAGAGATACAGAGAGGTTAACCTTTCAAGGCTGTTCTGGTACCAAATCCCAGACAAATTCATCCATACTGTTGAGGTTTCTTCTTGCCCTCTTTTGTCTATTCAGCTTTCTAGGGAGATAATCTAGTTTAGGGCCTTAAGTGACAAACTTTCTAGGAATCCACTGTGGAGACCAGGAGATTGAGGAGAGGGTTACATGGAGGCTCAGGAAGACTGAGTGTAGTTCCCGGGTTTCTTCCCCACTCTGTTATTGAATTTTTGCTGCTAGGGTTGCCGAGAGGGAACCTGTGCATAATTCCCAGATTCCAACAGTCATTTTCTGTACCCACAGAAAGCAGAAAGAGGCACCTGCTCCCCAGCTGGTCTCCTGAGCCATTGTGGAGACATCCTTTTATGCGACTGAGTTTCTTAGGAAAATGAAAGTTTGGGAGTAAATGGAAGAAATTCAAAGTCTAGAGAGCAAAGTGGGTCTAGTGTAAAGAGTTTGGTAGTGCCTTTCTTGATACTGACCCCCTTTCCCTTTTCCTCCCATTTCTGTGTCTCAGAATTTGTGGTTCATCATTGTCATCAGCCAAGTAGCTACAAATTAAGTAAGCGGCCAACTGAGGGAAAGGGACACCACAGAGTTCGAAAGGTGGTAGATTGGGAGAGTTAATAGAAATAATCACAAGTAGGCTATTTCCCCGAGAAATACTGTCTTGAACACCATGATGTGTGGGAAAAGACACGTTTTAGAATCTAATACAGGTTCCTACATTTTGTGCAAACTCACTAGTTAAAATGTCTGATTTATATCGGGGGACAGGACTCCTCACTTTACCAAAGCAATCACTATAGTAAAGTTAGAAAGAATAGAATTTCAAACAAACAAAAAAAGAACAGACCTCATTTTTTCTAGTGCTGTGCTGTCCAATACGGTAGCCACTAGCCACATGTGGCTATTGAGCATTTGAAATATTGCTAGTTTGGATTGAGATGTTCTGTAAAGGTAAAATGCACACCAAACTTCAAAGATCTAGTGTGGAAAAAATAATGCAATAGTTTTTTAAAATATTGATTACATTGAAATAATGTTTTGGCTGTATTGGATTAAATAAAACATGAATTTCACCTATTTCTTATTTTTTAAACCTGTTTAATGTAACTAATAGAACATTTAAAACTATGTATGTGGAAAACAAACTATATATGTGGCTTGCATTATATTTCTATTGGACAGTGTTGTTCTGGTATATTAAAAATAGGGTTTGACTTTTAAGCATCTTTACAGTAGTACATTTCTTTTTAAAAATATATAGTTTTATTGATTTTAGAGAGAGGAAGGGAGAGGGAGAGAGAGATAGAAATATCAATGATGAGAGAGAAACATTGATTGGCTGCCTCTTGCACACACCCTACATCGAGCCCACAACCCAGGCATCTGCCCTGACGGGGAATCGAACCGTGACCTCCTGGCTCATGAGTTGATGCTGAACCACTGAGCAATACCAGCTGGGCACAATAGAACATTTATTGCTTTAAGTAAGTACACCTATACAGGAGAAACAGACTTATTGCAAGAGAAGGACACAGAAATGGAGATTTGCAAATGGGGACATTAATTATAGAAGAAAGTCAGCAACCTGTCTCAGTTACCTCTTAGTCTGGGGTGAGGGGTTATGGGGTCATGATCAATTGCCTGAAATAAGTGCTTTCATTCCCCTAGTTCCATCTGATCTCCTGGTTGGGACCCAGAGAGAGGAGGGAAAGGGCATTTTGAAACTTCTTTCACCTTACCGTCTTAGCCATCAAGCTGTGGGTGAGAAATAGTGGCAATGTGACAGGAACTTTCCCTCGACACGTCTGGGCCACCATCCCTGGCCAAGAAAAGGAGGAAGAATGAAGCGAGCCCTTTCTTCATTCCCAGGGCCATCTGGTAGAGCTGCTGCCGCACCTCCTTCTGCCAATAGGCATAGATGAGTGGGTTGAGCAGGGAGTTGCCCACACCAAGCAGCCACAGGTACCGTTCCAGTACTAAATAGAGGTGGCACTCTTGGCAGGCCACCTGC